GAAGAAGAAGAAGAAGAAGAAGAAGAAGAAGACGACGACGACACGGCTTCGCACCCACTGTCACGCTTGTCGCAAACTACATGACGCCCACGACCACCGGTGTGAACACTCTTGATGCCTTGCTGCCGGCACTGTCATCTGTAACCTCCCACCATCACACCTGAAAGACCTTGCGGCGACGAATAACGCCGATGCGAACACTTTAAACGCCCTGACAGCCATGACCACCTGCCCCTCCCCCTCCGACACTAGAAACGTGGACCCGGTCCCAACCTGCCCAAAGTGTGATCCTCCGCTTCACATTGACATGCTCGGTCACTTGCGAAATCATAGCACAGAAACCACCGAACTAGTGCACCCATGAAAAAGTGCGGTAAAGCACTGTCGGTCAAACCAAATCACCGTATATCTCCTAACCAAAACACACACCACATGTGAACCTTTCGAAAATCATCCCTCATAGACAAGAATGTTGCACCCGTCGCGTAAGTAGGAATCGTGTTCTTCGGCCCCTTCTTAATGCAACCTCTAGTACGCTAATGGTCGTAAGATCCGAGCGGCTTACTATCTTCGTGTGAAAATCGCAAGTGTGTTATGTGGACAGGTCCTGTGTGACACCTGTAAGTGGGTTACTTACTTGTGCCTGCCAGTGCGCTTGATCTCGATATCGAGTGTGAGGCCAGCTCAGAAAATCAACTCATGCGGTAGACTCTCGGCACATATGCCTCACTGTAAATAAGATGATAACCTTTGCCCTGGGCGACACGGTAGACCTTGCCAGTAACCAGGGTCTAACTGCCAAGTGAACAAACAACGAACCGGCATCTCAATTCTACGCATGTTTTTTTCATGTGCTTTTACAAACCATCTGCAAAAGATCATGCACTAATAGAATGTCCGCAACGAACCTTCAATGGAGCGTAATTATATGTTGCATATTTCCTAATATTTGCCCCTTATTTTGTAGGGTAAGACCCGGGAAAATTTTTTTACGATTTACGAGCTTGAGAGTTCTACCTTTGCATTTGGCTTGGATGATTCAGCGTTTTAAGCTGCCTTACGTTCCTGTAGGTGTTGGCTCTAGAATCGGACGAAAAGTGCATGCAACCGTAGGAATGCCGTGCGACATCTAGTGTTTAAATAGTCGGACAAATTGAAGATAGGGATGTTATATATGGCTCGGTAAACAGTACGTAAGAACATTAAATGCCCTCAGTATAGGTGTCTGCTCCAGTTTCAAGGAAATAAGGATAAGGCTTGTGGTTATGGTTGGGGCTGTGGCTGGGGTAGGGTTATGACTAGCGTTAAGGCAAATAAGACTTAAGAACGGAGTTAAGGATAGGCATGAGGTTAAGGTCAGTGCTACGGTTTAGACTTATGTTAAGTCTAGTGCTGGGGTAAGAACACGGAAATATTGCCCCTTTCTGAAATTATGCGCACAGTCACCTTTATTATTTGGTCAGGGCTGTCCTATTACCGGGTTCTATTTAGGGCGCCATATAATCGTTTGAAGGAAGGCGTCCATTGGGAAAATAGGGTAACTTTACTGCGTAAATTTTCGATGCTGGAGCCCCAGATCGTCGTCAGACTTGAGAAGAGGCGCGACTAACAATTACAATTTCAAAAGTGCTAGTACAAGTACATTGTCACCTGGTGTGAATGCTAGTTGGCAGATGCAACCTGCGTCAGTCCATGGTGGACAAATTAGTAGTCGTAATTGTTAACTGGCAACTATAATTTGCGTCAGTCCGGGATGGGAAATTACAAGTTTTCCGGCATGAAGGGCAATTAGTGGTGGCGGTAATTCTTAGTCTGTGTTGCTTGACTGTCGCTTCTTTCATCTTTCTTTAGGGTTTTTGTACATTCCATCTAGCTTGACATGGCGGTTGATGCATGAGTTATCGGAGTGCATGACCTGAATAAATGCTCGCCTTTTTAAGGGAGAAATTCCGATTGTGCGTGTTTTTCCCATGCAAAGTTAGGTCCTGTATCAAGGCTATGCATAGCGACTTCGGATAAATGGTCACATCTCTGCACTGCCAATTATTGCTCGTGGATGCGTGTGGAGACAGACCTTCCTGTTTGGCCACAGTATACGGTATCACAAGCTTCGCATGGGATCTTGTAGATGATTTCTTTCTTATTGAGATAGCTAACTGTTCTTAGAGTGTGCAAGCTGGACGCGTAACCTACCCATCGGTTTGTGCGACACTCTTATTTGATATTTTTGGAAGTGCCTTTCAACGAATTCAGACACATTCCTTGTATAAGGAAGGATTCGTCATGTGTTTGTTTTTTCCGCGTGAGTAGAACTATCTTGTTCCTTTACTCTGTATGGTTTTTGTTTTATGCATCGGTGTACAAAGTCCCTGAGGTTGCCATTGCGGGAAAATAAATTAAACAAATGATTCAGTTCGACTTGGTAGGTTTCTTAGAGCAGTCTGTCTTCGCTCGACGTAGCACACTGTTGGCGGCACTCCTTTTGTGATAAATGGGGTCGTTGCTCTCATAGTTATGAATAACCTCCATATATGTTCCTTTGCGGTAAACGGACGTTTTTAATGGTCCGTCAGTCTTTCGCTGCACGAGGGCATCCGAAAATGGAAGTTTACTGTTAATCTCCTTCTCGAGCATAAATTGGATTCATTTACCTTCAAATCTGCCAAATATATTGGTGCATTATATAAACAGCAAAATCGTGCCATTCCCCTAAAAAGGTATTACCTAAGACAGATCACCAAAACGGGCATATTGCCCTTTTCTGAAATAGTGCACAGGGTCACTTTCATTCCTTGGGCGAGGCATTCCTATTCCAGTGTCCTCTTTAAAGGGCCATATAAATGCGAAATTGAATAAAGCTCATTTTTAACTTTATTTTCCACTTTGACATCATCCCTAGCACAGTCGACGCAATTTCCTGAAATGACTAACCCAGTCGCCAAGACGCTCCTCGGAATACTGTGATTGGGTTTAGGCAGCTTCCAAGACCGCTTTTTCTGCTTCTAATCACTTTCTGCGCAGATTTTGTTTGCTTTCGGAAAGAGATCTGAAATCACAAGGCGTCACATGGAACGAAGTGGGCGTGTGCTCGACACTATTTTCTTCACACTCAGCCAAGAAATGCGTCCTTCGTTTTTTCTTGTGTGTGCAGCTTCAGGAATTAGTCGCGCAGTCTCCTCCAAGCAGGACATTTGGCAAGATCGGAAGTAAACTTCGTTGGGCACACCTCAGTGCTCTGAGCAGCTATCAGAACCTGACCGCTTTCCAGGTCACGAAAATGCATGTCCAAGGAAAAAAGGTGTCAGGTCTTCTTAGTCGTTTTTTTGGGCGCCTGAATCTCTTTGCAGTTATGGGTCTGGATTTTTTAGCGTTTAAAGCTTTGAGACTTCAGTAGAGATCTTGCAGTTACATACACGTCGCATCAATAGCAACGAGTTAGAAGGACTTGTCGGAACTTGAATAAAGGGTGCGTTTTGATTTTAAATATGTTCCTTATTTTATGAGATGTTTAAAACCGTGAAATGTCCTGCCATAAATCACCGTACTTGTACATTTATTAATGCTGGTTGTAAGATATACCGTTTGGTCTAAATTCACTTCAAAATTTTCTGAGCACTCTCAGACGTCTTCTTCATAGCATAGAGAAACGCGCGTATTTTCTTCGATAAAATTTGTATAGCATGCAGTTTGGAAACACTGAATGTAGTTTTAGTTCAAAGTTATTCAGGAATTTAAAGATTGGTAACAGTTAACTTGATTGCCCACTTTAGCTACCCCTAGCCCCAAATCTTGTGGTTACTTTTAGTTTCATTAGTTTTAGGTTAGTTTAGTTTTTAGTTTGTTACTTATTTTATTAGTTTAATTTTGTTTATTTTATTCTATAGTTTAATTAGATACCGCCAATGTTAGATAAATATACCTAAATAACTACTATACACTAAGCTAAAATTTAATTAAAAACTAAGTAAAATAAAAACCACACTAAACTAAAATTAATCTAATTCACTGATTAATAAACTAAAATAATACCACTGGTTCCCGTTAGAGAGAATAGTGGACCTAGGGGTGGACCTAAGGTGGACGACTAAAAGGTTTTTTTCAAACCTAAAGATATCCTTCTATCAAGCACACCTTTCGAAGGAGGCGGAACTTTCTAAAGAATTTGTACAGGAATAATATTTTCGTGTATGTTTTCTATAGAATATACAGAAATTTATAAGGACGTCGAAAATTGATGAGATAACTGCATCCTACTACAGTAAGAATTATTACATAGTTTAGTTTTTGGAGACGATCGTAAAGAACCTCAGTTGAAAGCTGGTACCCTTACCTGACTGAAGTACATCGTAATTAAGATGCACGATAATTAAAGTTCAGCCCTACTTAAGTAAGCTTTCGAAAAGAAACCACATTTCAGAATTTCCATTCACATTTCATGAAATAGAAAATCTACTGTAATCGAGATACTGGCCATTATTGTAACCTTTTCGAGCTGGTAGAGATCCGGGTCACCTGCGACGGACTGACTATCTGATTTCTTCGCAATACCTTAATTTGGACTTCAAACGTGGATTTCTATTCTGCAGTTTTTTTCCCGAAAGCACCTGCTATCCGGATTTTTTCCAGTTGTATTCCTCCATTTGTTTCATATAACTAGAGCAACTAATTATTTGCTATTAAGTCAACGGTTCCGAAGGGTCCTTGCTTCCGCATCCTCGCATTCATGAGCAAAATGCCATCTTTTTCAAAGTCTGGTGCAGGAATGGAACATGAGTACATACTAACTGCGAAGTCAACGCAGATATGTGGCGCCTCCGTAAAACGCCTTCCATTCCGCACTCCCCTCGAGAAACCTGTCGTGGTTGTCTTCAGTGACAACTTGCACTGTGAAAAAGAACACTGGCTAGTCGATGACTACTTCTAGGTATTTCGTTCTAAGAGCCTATGCCACATTTACTGCTGCAAAGTCTGTTTTAGTTGGCTGGCATCCGTGATTGGCCGAACTGTATAATGTATCAGTCACCGGAAGCGCGACTCGGTTAACCACAACGTGCCGTGAACTGAATGCCAGGTGGGGTGGGAAGCAGGGATGAAACGGGAATAGAGGCGTAAGCCTGAAGCGTCTAGAGTTGAGGGGACATAATCGCGTGTCGAGTCACGTTAAACATTATAGGGCATTCCCGCAAATGATTGACATTTCACGGTAGCCTAGACGGCACCCATGCAGGTTAGTCGCTCCCAACATCACTACTACGGCATGAAAATATACACTTGTTAGTTTCCTAGGTGTACTTTATTTCCCTTTCCCTTTATTTCCCCTTTTCACGTTTTCTTCTCTCCATTTCCTATCTTCCGCTGTAGATGTTATAAGTTTCGCCGACATAATAGACGTGTATCCCGATCACAAGGCTCGAAGTGGGCACAGCTCCTCCTTCTGCCTCCTGCTAATGGCCAACACTTCCCTGTGTGTGGAACCCATTGCTGAGGGGACTTACAGTCCAGCTCAGTCGGCTCGTGGCCGCATCCAGACCCGCGTACTCTCGCTCGCCGCACCATCTCCCGAAGCAATGCGAGTGTGGGTAGACGCCCTGTTTACTTGCGCCGGTGCCTATCTATGCCTTCCCTCTCGTAGCCAATGGCCAGGCAGTTAACCCAACTCCTCATATCGGGACAAGTCCGAAGGGGGTTTATACACCGATATTCACACAGATGCAAACATCATTGAGCTGGGGGGGAGGGGGTCCAGCAGCCCCTCTCACATCTGTCATCCCAAAACTGTCATTTCCTAACCTCTGCTGCTTCCTTTCTTAATCAGATTTTGTACAAAACAGTTCCTTGGATGTTTGTAATATCGCTACTGAGTCAGCGCGCTGGCTCTGCCAACGTGTCAAATGCAAACTATCTTTTTTCCTACCATTTGCTAACTCGTCCCAGCTTCCAGAAGTGATTGCGCCGGCAAAAGAACTCAGATGAACGCAATATGTCAACAAATGAGCAGGGGAACATCTTGAGTTTGCTAGCAGGATTAACCGAGAACGAAACGCGGCAGCCAATATAATTGTCGTCTTTGTAAGACAGTGAAACATTGGGTTTGTGTAGTTTAAGCAGAAGTTGAGGCAGTAACAAAAAAACATCAAATTGTTCTCAGTTTTTTTATAAAACAAACCTGCTAGCCCGTCCTGGTGCCGTCTTAAGGTCAGAGTCAAACTGAGGTGAACGACGCCATGGCCCTGCCCGGGGATCTTTTGCCTTTTATTTTTAACCCCACTTACTAATAATACTACAAGTATTTTACGCCGCAGATTACGCGCGTACGCCCTTTGCATAGATATGGTTGTAGAAAAAAATCGTACCAGCAGACTAATCCCCTTGTTGGTGAACGTTCACCTAACCGCTAACGGAACTCATCTGTACCGCCCTGCCTTGGGTCTCGGCA